GATGCGGATTCTGCAGCTGCAGCAGGAGCTGGAACTGCCGGGTCCGATGCTGTAGATGGTGTTACTGGTGGATCCCCTGAACCTTGTGTCGGCTGCCTGTCTGCACCTTGAGCTCCTAAATGGGTACCAGGGGGAAAAGGGAAAATCTAGAAAGTTTCGAACCTGATGTTTTTTTCGGTCGCTGATGGTTGGCTGACGACACGGTGCGTCTCTGGACGGTTGTCCACACCGGCGGCCACAGGGTTCAATGGATCATTGACCACGGGGACGGGGGGCTGCAGCCAGGAAGGACGGACCGGCGGGGAATGGCGTCGGGGACAGCAGACGAACGGGGGGTGGCACCTGCCACGCCGTCCCAATACACGGGTCAACCTTAAACGACGGACCGTGTGGACGACCCTGATGGATGGATCTTGTGGCCAACCATGTGGTCAACCATGGGCGATCAACAACCACGGACAAAGATTCAGGCTCATCATGTGCATTCTTTGCTGTATGTCCATTCAGGGAAAGAGAAACCGGACAGTATACCAGCATTAACAGAAGTACCCTCATCAGCATCAGACGGGGGGGTCCAACCTACAGATCCGAAGGTAACACAGTCCACAGCGCACGCATCGCCACCCGTAAAAACGATACAAGGAATAGGCGATCTCGCAGGCAAGGCCACTGAGGATGTAACACGGGCCCCAACATCCCAGGAACATGGTGAACGTTCAGGTGCCCGTGATAAGGGTGACCCCGGTGAAGATGTTGAACCCGCTCAACCTCAGGTTCCCAGTGAGTCCACTGGACCATCTGAGAGTAAGCAGAAAGAGGATTCTGCTGAAGACAACACTATGTTCAAATTCGTAGCATTAGGTGACCCACCTAAGTGGACTTATCCCTGGGACTCGCTGCAACCGCAGAAACCTTTCACATCAGAAACGACATCAATAAGCTCAGTATCCCAACCTACACCACAGGGTCCACTTCCTTTACCCGATCACAGTGGACGAGAACCCGATTCTGCTCGCCCCGGTCTCTGCCTGAATGACGCTGGCATATTTAAAGATGGTAACCCTGGTGGTGGAATGGCGCCACCGACCTTAGATACGGGAACTTCTAAGAATCCTATTGAATACCCCGGCACACCGAGGAATCCGAATAGTGGTCCCCATGCACCCGACCTAACCGGTGTTGTCCTTACCGCCACTACTCCCGTGCTGTTTTTTCTCGCTTCCGTCACCGTCGCCCTACTGGGTTATTCCCTTTGGAAGGTAAGCATGCACTCACACAAGCGCACACAATCACACAACGCGCACACACAACGCACAATGCACAACGCACAACACACAAGCACGCACAAATATAACCGAGTGGAAAATGGAAGCACAACCGTTGCCATGCGCCATCCACTGTTCCGTCCCATGCTCCCAAAAGGAACGCGAACGAACTTTACATTATTCGCAAGGTACTCCATAGAAAGAAAAAGAAAGAAACAACAAGAGTAATTTTAAGAAACAAAAACCTACTACAGATTAACGTCCCTATATGCGGATACACTGTACATTGGAGGCAACGGAGTTTGGGCTCGTGCGACACAATATATTAGATACATGGTCACACAAGGGCCTTATATGTATGTAATACTAGCACAATATGCATATATTGTTGTAACTATGAAAGCTTATTTTTGAAGCAAAAAAGGAAAAAAAAAAAAAA